ATTTTTATCCGATAATATATTGCTCATTTTTGACATCCATGTCCCTTTTAGAACTTTTAAAGTTAGTAATCCACCAGCTCCTTGGCTTACAGATAACATAAAACGGATCCTTAAAGAAAGAGACAAAGCATTGTCTAAATTTAATTCACAAAAAACTCCTGAAAATTGGGACCACTATAAAATGTGCTAAAATTTTGTTTTGGCTTCTATCAGAAGGGAAAAGGCAGCATATTTAGATACATTGCAGACAAGTAAAAATGATAAAGCTTTGTGGAAAGGTATACATAACATGAACATTCGTTGCTCTACTATATTATGTAATCCTTCTAAAATTAATGATTAGTTTCTTAATGTTTTTAAGTGTAAAGATAAAATATTATTTTATTTAAATAACCAATTTGGTAACATGCCAAAGAAGGGTGCAAAGCACCCCGTGAATTTTAAGTTGAAACATATGCCACATTTTTAGGCTATTTTAAGGCTATTTTTATACCCTATTCAAAAATTTTATGCTCCTCGTTTTTTGCAAAAATCAAGGTGCTCTGCTAGCTTCGAACGAAGTCAGCAGAGCACCTCAGTTTTTTAAAGCTTTTTTCCAAAACCAACGACACCATATTTTTATGCTATTTTTAGGCTATTTTTAGAAAAAAAGCTTTAAAAAACCGAGGTGCTCTGCTGGATTCGTTCGAAGGTAGCATAGAACCCTGTATTTCTTAAAAAATACATTTTTTTTTTGAAAAGTTATATATGATTTTAGGAGCCTAAAAATAGCTTAAAAACGTAGCATAACTAGTTTTCAAAAAAAATAATAATAAACCGAGGTGCTCTGCTGACTTTGCTCCAACAAAGCACCCTCTATTATTTAAAAATAGCAATTTTTTAGTAAAGTTTTATAATATTTCAAGAGCCTTAAAATAGCCTAAAAATGTGGTGTAGTTTTTTTTAGAAAAAAGCTTTAAAAACCGAGGGGCTCTGCTGGATTCGTTCGAAGCTAGCAAAGCACACTGTATTTTTTAAAAATAACAACATTTTTCGAAAAGTTTTATAATATTTTAAGAGCCTAAAAATAGCCTAAAAATATGGTGTCGTTGGTTTTGGAAAAAAGCTTTAAAAACTGAGGTACTCTGCTGACTTCGTTCGAAGCTAGCAGAGCACCTTGATTTTTGCAAAAAACGAGGAGCATAAATTTTTTGAATAGGGTATAAAAATATCCTTAAAATAGCCTAAAAATAATAATAATAATGACTTTATTGCTTTCAATACATACAAATTATTATACAAAATTATATAAATATACATAAAAAAATACTAAAAGACAAAAGGCGACGTTCGCACTTACTGGCGAGCTCAAAGATTGAGCCAGCAAATAAGCAGCGCTCTTCCACGCAACCCAGAAAAATATGCATACAGATTTTCTATGAAAAAAAAGTGAAATTCTAGCTTTCAATAAGAAAGCAAACAAACAATTAATATGGAAACTTAGAAATATGGACTTCAGATCTCCTTTTTATTTTTTCATACAAATAATCAGGTTTTTTTGATAACAATAATTTATGGATCAGGACATAGGCATGTAACAATCTCCTATTATTTAGATTAAGCCATCCCAAACTAGCCAGATGTTGAGATGTACGGGTACGACGACGAATCCCGCAAATAAATCTAACACACGCATTTTGAGTTCGTTGTAAACGGTTTTTATGAAATTGTGTAAGTGCAGGCCCATATACAATGTCACCGTAATTAAACTGAGACAGCACTAAGCTTTCGCAAAGCAACTTTTTGGTATTTCTGTTGAGAAATTCCCGATTAGAATAAATTAACTTTAGATTACAGAAAGATTTTTTTATTATAGAAGAGATATGTTGCGCAAAGGATAAATCTTCATCAATGTATATGCCCAGATTTTTCTCACAAACTGAGAATGTTAAAAATTCATTGTTAATACTTACCCTTAGAATATTTTTAATTCTATTTTTAACTTGTTTACGGCCGAAAAGCAGAGCTTTGGATTTTGTAGCGTTAATTGTTAAGCAAAATTTGTTAGATATCTCCGAGATAGTTTGCAGATCTTCGTTGATTTTTGTGATTGCGCCATTCGATTCGGATTCTTTAAAGTCAATGTAGAGTTGAGTGTCATCAACGTAGAAATGAGAATTCATGTGTTTCAGATATTTAAAAAATTGAGAGGTATAAATTGAAAATAAGAGAGGACCTAAAATAGATCCCTGCGGTACTCCACGTGTAATATGTATTAAATTGGATGTTTTTTCTTCTATTTGAACTCTTTGATATCTTCCATTTAGGTAAGAGCTCAATAAATTTACTGAGGCTGTGTTAAATCCCATAAAATGACATAAAGCTAACAGTAAAGAGTGATTTATTTTGTCAAAAGCTTTTGAGTAATCTAAGAGAATTAGTATACATAATTTTTTAGCATCTATATACGGGTAAATATCGTCTAATACTTTAAGTAACGCTGTAGTGCAACTGTATTTTGGACGGAAGCCCGATTGATGTTTAGGTAGAAGATCAAATTGTGAAATATGAAAGCGAATTTGTTCGTCTAAAATTTTCTCAAAAGCCTTTGACAGAGTACAAAGTATACTAATTGGCCTCAGATCAGAATATTCAGTTGGGGTCTGTTTTTTGGGAAGCGGCAATACTTTTGATTGTTTCCATGTGGCATATGTTTCAACTCAAAATTCCCGAGGTGCTTTGCTGTCTTCTTTGGCATTTTGGTAACAGCACGTTTGCATTTAACCTCGTTACTCAAAACATAACGTGTGTCTTTTTTTCCACCGGTTTGTTGCAACCGTTGTTTCACCGATGCGGCCTTGAACGTTTTGTGTTGGATTCTGGTTGACCGTTGAAATAAATAACAGTTGACATACCGCACCGATGCCAACGTTGCTGCAACAGTTGGATAAAAAGACACACGTATAGTGTTCGATGCTATAAAGTCTATCAAATCAAATGCTGGTGGAAGAGATGGTAATTTCACTGCATATGATAAAGTTATGCTGGCCAATAATTGGTGATTATATCACTCATATCATAGACTGTTGTCTGCAATGTGGATATTTCCCAAAGGCTTGGCGTGAGTCCATTGTATGTCCAATTCCAAAAAAACCTAAGATTCTAGATTATGTCCGTGATCTTCGTGCACTAAGCTTATTACCAGTTATCTCTAAAATTCTTGAAAGAGTGGTATACTCTCAATTGTATGAATGTTTCAGCAAACAGAATTTTACCTAGTGAACAATCAGGCTTTCGTAAAGGTCATAGCACCACTTCTGCAATGCTAAATTTGAATAAGAGGTAAAGGGGCCAATTATTATTGGATAAATTGCTCGAACAAGTTTGTAAACCCTAATCAAAAGCCGATATAGAATGGTTTTAAAAATCAAGGCTTGAGAAAATCATCACATGGTTTAACCTATGTAATGCCAATGGTTCACAAACCAAAAAATTCAACGTTTTTCGGTCTTTCGTTCCAACTAAATCATTTCTCGTTTTTTTAAGCTACGAGTTTACCCTTGCGGACCTCAGACTCGTTAAGATGAGAACCATCACTTTAGAGTTTTTCGAATTTGAATTCTTAGGTTTTATCCAACCCTGGACATAGCTCAATCTTTTCCAAGATCCAAATAATAACCCAAGAACTGTTTTAGAGCAGGCCTGCACAACTCAGATTGTCAAAGGGCCAGTTTGAAAAAACCGTAAGTGTAAAAAGGACCGAGAGAGGCCTGAGCTTTTACTGGTCTGTTCAGATTTAAAAAAAAATGTCCTCAAGTTTTAGAGGATTGTTTCAAGAAATGAATGTAAATGTTTATTTGTTTATTGTCCCTACTTTCCCTTATAGTTGCATCTTCATCGAAAGTCTACTCATTATCTTTCTTTCTTAAACGCACAAACATTTGTTTATGAAAATAAGTCATTCTTTGTAAATCTGTAAACGTTTAGACACTATTTTTGAGAATGCCACAAGTTTTTTGTCAATCTTGTTTCGGAATTCATTCTAGACATTGAGAGTTTCACAACAGAGCAGCTGAATGCCCTTCCGAAACACTCTAAATCGAATTCCATATAAACTTACATGTACGTTGTTTCTAATAAAATTATTCACCGTATTTTTTGATCACACCTCGTATAAATTAACAAAATATGCTAGAGGTGATAAAATGACACCCAAACTTTTCCTAATAATAAAAGTAGGTATACCTATCATCTGAATTCATAAGTTATCAACTAAACCTAAAAAAAGCGCATCGTCTGAATTCATTGTTAACAAAAAGAAAATTAATACATTTAATGTCAACATATTCTGGGGAACTTAATCCAAAATTAAAGAGAAAATAAACTAGAAAACCATCTAGAAAATGCCTATGTAAATACCTATATAGTGGCTGGTTTCCGACGGTAAGTAGGTAACTATTGATGAAGAAAGAGAACAGTTAGGTATTTCGTTTAAATTTCAAAATATCGCCTAGGTAGGTACCTCAATTCCAAAAGGACATAACTTAAAATTTGTCAAAAATAAGATATTTCTACAAATATAAAATTATCGAAAAATGGACAGTTCAAAAGAGAAACAAAGTAAAAGTGGCTTTACATTTTATATGATGATTAACTAAGATTAAAAAGTACTATTGATAGAACTAGTTTATATAATTTAGTAGTACCTACAATGATTGAAACAATCTAAAATTTTACTTGTATCAATTGAAAAAACTTTCTATATAAGCATTTTACAGACTAGACTTTGAGCAAGTAAACATTTTCTACCACAGAAATAAACTAAACGTTTCAAACATTTGTTGTTTCAAGATGTTGCTCTTTTGAACTGATATTTTGAATTTTACACGAAATACACCGTCTTTGATTAATAAACCATACGGATACACAACAGCCACTTGTTTTCTTAAATAACTTGGCCGAGCAATTTAAAAAGAACTGCTAAAAAATTCCCAAACTTATAATTTCCTGTCTGAACTTACCGGATGACGGGCTGCCGCCACAGCTGCCGCTGCCGCCGCATTCATTCCAGTGCTCGGATACATTTTACGTCAGCAAATCATGGCATACCAAAAAAACAACACTGTACAAATTTCACCTAATCCACTAAGAAACAGAGCCCCGTACACTTATCCAAAAAAATAATCACAAACACTCACTATCATCAAACAAACATAAAAAAAACACTGCAACGTAATCCACACTGAAAATGTTGTAGTTAATCCACAAGAGTGCAGGTCACAGCGATGTTCCGGAACACAAAAAGAACGCACCTATCTCTACGACGAAACGAGAACGACTGAATTTTACGTCTCCCCCTCCCGATCTAGCGAACGGATCACTGTGAGCCGGGAAGCGCTTAAAAGTGGACAAAAAGCAACTTTGAATTGATATTAATTTAAATAACAGAAATAATTTTTTATTGTAGTATAAACAAATCTAAAAGTCATAGGACATTACAAAAAAGTTTATATACAGGGTGATCGAAAAGTCGCTTTACCAAAAACAATACAATTTAAAAAAAATATATAGACCTTTTCATCACAATTTTTTTTTGTTCGCATGCGTCAGTATCGGCCATTTTTTTCTTACTTTTTTTTGCAAACAAACATGTTAAAATGCCCACGTGAAAAAAATTATAATCGATAAATATTCATTAAAAAAAAGAAGTAGAAAAATAAAGTAATAAATATCTGTAAAATAAGTTTTTGCAATCAATTCTAATTGTTATCTGTACGGAGAGGAACAACGAATCGGTATTGTTATGGAGTATAAATCATTCAAGGCCAGTGGCGGCTCTTGACTAAAAAATTAGAGGTTCACAATGACAGAGAACCCCCTTTTCTTCACCCCTAAAAATAAAGAAAAGGGTTGGGGTGGCGCTAGGCTGTTTTTCGAACAAGGGTTGCTCAGGCGCCAGTTTTGGTAACGCAGTCTACTCTGCGGCCCTGGGTGCACCTAGAGTACACCCTCAGCAGACTCAGTGGAGTCCAGGTACAAAAATAAAGCAAATAAATACAACAACCAGACCTTCACTGCTTACTTGACTTCTACTGGGGCAATAAAATAAAGGTAAAAATAAAATTTCGCACTGCGCTTTTACCTGCTAAGAACTAACCTCTGAAAACGGAAAAAGTAAAGGGGTATCTCAAAATAAAACTCAAGAATTAAAACCGAATATATATTTACAAAATAAAATAAATAGGCAACAAATAAAATAAAATAAATGGAACTTGGGTAAAATCACACCACCAGGTATATGTAACAACGGTAAAAAATTAAACGGTTTCGGTATCAACAGAAAAGTCCTATAACGGTAAAATTAGCTATGGGTTATACTATATTAAAAAAAAAAACGGTAGGCAGTAACACCCTTTGCATAAATTCTTTCCTACTAAAGGAAACAACCGGTTTTAGTAATAAGAAAAAAAAATCCTACAACAGTAAAATTAAATATGGTTTGAACTATAATTATTAGAAAATAAAAAATAATAATTTTCTCTCTCAGTGATTAATATCAGAAATTTATAAACGGCAGTGATCTGTATCACTCTGCACTCATGAAAGGAATATAACTGTTGTACTTCTAAGAATATCGGTTAATATCCTCCTCGCACTTATTACTTTACACCAGGCACAATAGCCTCAAATTACAAATCGATTTAAGACGGAATCGTTCGACCAACACTTTAGGGAACAGTGACGGTTTTCTTTTTATTTATTCGGTTTAAAGTTTCTCTTATGTAGACATCTGGTAGTCCATAGCTTCTACAAAAGAGAAACCCTTTCTCCGAGCTGTTATAAAGACTAGGGGCTGAAACAGCTCTGATTATCGACGGGGGGAACAAGCTAATACCGCTATCACCCCCTGGTTAACGCGAAAATGGATGAAGGGTGCGAGTGCGAGATTTAAATCCATTTTACTTTATTACCCTAACAGGTACTAAGGAAATTAAAAGTACAGGTCGAATTCCTTAAGTAGACCATGGAAACGGAAATGAACGTTGCAGGGAGAATTATTAGACAGAATTTTAAATAAAGTGCCTACCTTGACTAATTCCTCACAATGGTCTTCGGTGCACGAAATCTAAATTGCGAAAAATCGGTATTTATGGTTTAAAGACAGGCCCTCTTGCCCCATACCCTAAGACTCGATCCCTGATACCTCCACGTTTTGTTCTATAAAAAATTATTTAAAACACATTAAAAATTTAAAAAATAACTAAGTAAAATTTAATAAATGTTAAATAAAAAACATATTGTTTGGTAAAAAGCATTATTCTAGTAAAAAATAAATAATAATAATAAAAAAAGTAATATTAAAAATACTATTTGGAAAAAAGTAAAATAAAAAAAATAAAAGTACCTAACACTGGTAAAAAAATGGTAAAATGAAAATACTCATAAATCAGTCAATGTAAACCTAAAACATTTAATCAATGAATGAAATATACATCATTTACCTTATTTGCCTTGATTCTACATCATTAAAGTATATTTTATAAAATTTTTACCTCATTGTCCTTTTATTTTAAACGTGTAATTACTTTAGATCCGAGCTTATATAAAATATATCAGAAATCACTCAGGCAACATTTTGCTCTACAACCCTCTTATACACCTTGTGAAAGGGCTTCAGTTGGAGATAGCGGAAAATTTCAGGGGTCACGTTATTAAGAGATTTTAATTTTTAATAAAAGTAGCAATACCGGTCTTTAATCGGTAGTGATACGTCAGTGTTTCTCGGAAACTGAAAAGAGTTAAAGAATTGACAGCACTAGATCAACCTGCTACAGCGTACAATTTTAAATATTAAAAAATGCTTATCGTCTTGAAATACGCATTTTTTTTTAACTTTTTTATTGTTTATTGTTATAATTTAATGCCCACTAACTAAAAAACGTTAACTTTTAAATTATTTCTTTTCCAACCTGGCAAAAATTTTTTATGCTTAGTTTTATTAGAAATCAATGAAATCGAGTGTATGGAAAACAAAAAATTTCCTATCATAAATTGTAAGCAATTTACATTGTTATATTATGAGCATGATGATTTGTAAATTTATACACTACATTTTTGCATCTCAAATATGTCTATTCACTTAGGTACGGAATTTTTTAAAAATAAAATTCTATAATTTCATAAACAATCTCATCAAATATACAGTACGGGTATTTATGACTAGAAAAATGAATTGTTTTTTATCTCATTGTCAGCTCTATATTTATTTTCAAACCTTTGTTCATTAATAAAATTTATGATTTCTATAAATTATTTTCACAAAAATTTATATTTTTAAAATCTGCTAATTCCAGATAATATTTTTATATGTCATTCTCAATCTATTCATTCACAACAAAGTTTTTTTAATGTTATTTCTGTATATATCTTGAAAAGATTATATTTTACTCAAATTGCAGAAATTGGAACCTTACACTTTCTGACAAATTCTGCTGAATGATATTAATTAATTTTTCTATCAATTATTTTAAAATATCATTAATTACGTTTATTATTGAGAAAATTATAAACTATCTGATATCAAATTTGGAGTGGGCAAACCAAAAAAAACCGTTTTCAAACAAGTTTTGTGCAGGTTTGAAAAAATATTTACATTTTTTGTCAGCCATTTTGAATCAGCCATTTTGAATTCTGAATTTTTAACATTAAATTTGAAATCTACTGCTCTAAAAACTCTTCTGTGCCTAGTTTTCTGCAAATTTAAGAACAATTTACACTTTTTGGTAGACATTTTAAATTTTGCATTTCTAATTTGAAGTCGGAGACCATTATTGGCGGAATAATTTTTCTTGAGAGGAGGCTTGAGCCCTCAAAAAATGGACTCTTACATAAAATAAAAATCAATATATACCCAAATATATACATATTTTAAAAATCCAACACATTCCGATTATTTTGTACAAACTATTGCATCACCCTTGTAAATGTTTAGAGGATGAACTATACATACATTTTTCACACACATTTTACATATACATATATTCATTGCTTACGAAAATAATGAAAAATTCAAATATTACACTTTTTCTTAAATTTTTCCAATACGGTCCATTTTAGAGAAATCATTTAAAAACAAAACTTATAAAAAATAAAATTGCAAACAATTTTTATTTGAAAAATTTTCTTCTCCAATCGTAAATAACAGATATATTTTATAAAGTAGAAAAACGACCCTCTATAAAGTATATTTTCAAAAAAAGGCTAAAGCAATTTATTCTAGAGCATTCTCGTTATTTTGAAAATTAAACTTCGCCTACCCTAAAAAAAAAATGATTATGCAGATTTTTAAGTTTTTTAATTTTTAAGTTTTGAATAAAAAATACAAATATATAAAATATAAAAAAATGTAATTTATAATTCATATAAATAACTTTTTTTTGTATTTCTATTTGTTTAAATTGATTTTTTATAGTAGTTTAGGTATGTAACTTAAATATTATTTTAGATTTGATATAAGGTATTTTTTGTCCGTTTTTTTTCTCGAAACAGGCGCTTATTTTATTCACAAAAATTTATTGAATTATATGCAAGGCCAAAACCATGTGGGACGAGCTCCTTCGCCCCTTCGCTCCTCCCTATTCCGCCGCTAATGTCAGAGGCACCAAAAACTTTCACAAAATATTTCAAAGCATATACATTAGAATTTAAAATTTTGGCCACTTTTCAGTGCTTCTTGGCCCACTTGCGACTCTCGCCCCCTGTGATCGCGCGGCACCATCATAACCGCTAACACGTCTTTTAAAAAATGTCTACAATCTACAATACAACCCTCGATCTTCTAGATAGTTACCTTCAAATAAATATAATGAATGATAATTAATAATAAATGTATTAGATAATAATTGGTTTACAAAAAAATGTTAAGTTTTTAAAAGATTGGAAATATATTGACAATTAAGTAGGCTGTAATCTAATTGCCTCCTACGTGAACATAATTAACGCAAATTATCACATTCCTAACCTAACTTCGTCCTCTGCAACGCCAGCTCTAGAAATCGTCTACATTTGCTCGCCCCCAAAAAAT